GTCTTCAAGGCCAGGCAGCTGATGTGAACAGGGGAAGAGGGGCAAGGGAGATACGGGAGGGAGTGGCTGGACAGGGGCCCAAGTGGGCACACTTCTCCACTGCAGGTCACTCACGTGCAGGCTCATTTTCAAGTGCTACCTGGCCCGGGACAGCTGGCCAGCTCCCGCTGTTCTTTCTGGCCCCTGAACAAGGCTGAGGACCATGGCACCCAAAAACAATGTGAGTTAGAAGTCCTGAAGAGACACTGTCATTCTTGTTAGCAGTGAAAGGTCTCAATTTGGGCTCCTGCGACCCCTGGCAGTGTACAAGTTGGGACGTTGCAGCCCTCTGCCGAACTTAACTGGCTATTGGGAGAACATGGCGGTTTACATTTCAGCAATAAATGTATTTAACAACTTTAAATGTAGCAGCAGATGGGGGTAGGGTGGGGATGGGGAAATCATGGACCACATTTTCTGCTGAAAATCCACTTGGGAGTTTGTGCTATGACCTACATTACTCTGTCTTCCACCCCCAACTTTCTCCCTTCAAGGAATGTGATGATTTCCCAAGGATGAAACATTCTGCAGAAAAACATTTTAATAATGTGCTAAGTGACAGCACAGTAAAGCATGGAGCCTTCACTGATGTGCAGCCCAGCTCCCAGGACTTGAATTCTTGGAGTCCAGATTCCCTTTATTAACATCACTTGACTCTTCCCTTGGGCTCTGCTAATGTCTGCAGTGTGTAGTAGTCCTCAGGGTCCACCTTTTCCCTAAGTGCATGAGAAGGCAAACATCATGGAGCTCCCCCAAAAAAGGATGTTGGGGGCTTGCCATTCATTTTCCTGTCTGGGAGGCTATGACTTGGGTCTATCTAGATATTCTCCTTCCAAAGCCTCATGAAATCATAGGGGGGCTCTTTGGAGGTGGCCAGATCTAGGTTGTGTGATGCTGGGATTTAGGGTGTCCCACCTTGGGTATGGTTGGCACCAATCAAAGGGCACATAGCCTGAATGGGATAAAAGGGAGAGGCAGGCTTGCTGCTGTTGCTTCTACTGCTGCCTTCACTGCTCTGCTGTCTTCTGCCTGCCATAAACTGTTTCTCTCCTGTGAAGCCACCCAGCCAACTATGAACTGAAACCTCTACAAACTGTGAGCTACAATAAACTTTACCTCCTTTAAGTGTGGGTGTTGGATACTTTATCTTAGCAAGGACAGAAAGTAACTAAGACAGGAGCAGACTCTGGTACCCTATGGGCCACACTGATACACAGAGTCCAAAGTGGGGCCAGGAATTTAGCTCAGTGGTTCTGCTGCCTGCCTCACAAGCACAAGGTCCCAAGTTCAATCCCTGGTACCGAAAAAAAAAAAAAAAAAA